TTACTTTCATTGACAGTGTTTTTTCTAAGTATGCAACATCTATTAGCACAATTTTGTTGCCGATGTTTGCTTGAATTCAAAAGAATCCCCTTTGCAAAGCTATCCTTAATAATTGTCTTTAAAATTTTATACGCATGATGCTTAAGTGTTAATGAAAGCGGGTATGGCAACCGCTCAAGGTGAAAACACACGACTTTTCGAGTGAAAGTGATTCTCATTATTTCAGTGTTCGGTGTGGCTCCCAAAGAAGATCATTACCGGAATTTTCTATCGCTCGTATTAAAATAACACATAAGCACGCAAAACAGATTAATAAGGTATCAGGAAGTAAAACGGCCCTAATTCATATTTATCTTCTTTATGTGTACATCGAACTAAAGAAAATGTATAATGTCAAAGTTGTCAAGACGCTTCCAGGACAAATGGTGCGTGAAGGTTTAAAACGACTGTGTTTGGCTATTTAGTGTAAATGGCTGTTATAGAAGGAAACATATGTGCACGTCTCTAAATTTTTTGCGCCTCAGACTTTTACCTCTATTCCGACAGAAGTAACTGTATTTCTCGAAACCGTTTTGTTGTCGTTAAATGTTACAGCCTGTGATTGGTTCAAAAATATGTAACTGACGCCTCTTCTTTGAAATGGGTTTTAGTTCTCTAGCTCATAAATGTTCCAATCGTTCTCAAAGAATAACTGATCGCGCTCTCCTTTGAAGCTGTCCCAACAATGCTTGTTTTTCATTTATTCACCCAGTTGGATATCTTCAGGCTATTACATTGCTTGAAGGCACCAGAGGAAAACTTATTTCATAATATGATAGTGTACGAGGTTTCGAAATACTTGCGATGCAATGAAAGTCCAGTTCGTGCGCTTCTCGTTTCGCTAGTTACCGTTTTCCACGTCTAAATTTTCATGGAAATTATTTAATTTTGTCCCGGCATCCAGCCACTAAGAGAAAAATAAAGGAAACTCTTTCGTCCAGAGTAATTTGCTTCTCCTAAGGGCATTGTACTATGCGAATAGATTAAGTGTCTTACTCAAAATATATTATAATGAATTGACCTTTCGTCCAGTAGAGACCGTGTTTTACGTGTTTGCGTCAAATAAAGTTCAGGATATTGTATTTTCAAAATAAACATTTGCCTAAAAAATTGATTCGTTGATACGCCTACAATTCAAATCTATCAGGTGCGCGGCATGAAATCTAGAAGCGAACCTTTTTCACAAAATAAGTAACAAGAGTTCGGTATTCTTGAACGAAAATATGGATTTATGAAATTATATTAAAGCAATTCAAATAAATATACGTCGTTTATTAACTCCTTTTGTGTGTTTTATTAGAAGTATGAATTTTGTTTACACAAACGGCTTTCATTCACGCTGTTAGAATTACTTTTTTCCATTTTCGTAAAGATTATTTTAAAGGTCGCTGGAAAATCTCGATTTTCCTGGCTCGGCGTGCCACATGTGCTTTCTCTTCACTGTGAAAAAGACAGGGCAGCAACAGTGAAGGTCCCATCAAGTTGAACCACTTCATTCTTCCTTTTCCAGAAAGTTAAAACCCGTAGGAATTCTGCTCGAAACGCTCTATTCATGACTCCGTATATTACAGGATTAATGAAACAACTGCCAAAACCGAGATATATATATAACATGAAAACCTGCCGTGGGATAGCGAGTTTATGCGCTGAGAAAGAATCAACCATGTCAATAATAGCTATAGGTCCCCAACAGAGGATAAAGCCCAGCACAGCTGCGAAAAGTGCCTTTGTTATTTTTACTTCTTCCACATTCAGTCGAAGAGTCGCCCCTTTTCTTGTATTGTTCATCTCCTGATTATGTTGTTTGATGGTTGTAAAAATCTTGTAATATGCGAAGGTGATGATTCCAATGGGAACAGAGATGTAGATAACATCCAAATACGCCATGTATGCCATGTCCAGGTACGGTGTATCGAAGTCCATAAAACAGATAACTTTACCGTAGTGCACGATAAATGTGGCCCACTGAGCCATCGATGAAAGCCCTGCACCAAAAGCTGCGAAAAGTGTTATGGCAACCACAGAAATACATGTTGATTTTACTTTAAAACGCTGGCGATAAAGATTGGGTTTCACCACGCGAAAATATCGGTTCACAGCCGTTGCAGTCATAAGCAGCAAAGAGTATAACGCACAGAAAAAACAGAAAAATCCTTGGAAATGACAAACAGCACTGCTGAATGGCCACTCTCCTGTTATAAGAAGAACCACGGACATTGGCATACAGAGTACTGCCATGAGAGCATCAGACATGGCCAGAGTAACGACATAGATGTTTGGTATGGTGCGAAGTCGTTGGTTACGGTACACAGCCCAGCAGACTAGCATGTTACCTATGAAGGCCAGAATATTGATAAATATCATAAGAGCACTTTCGAAGACAACCAAACCAAGTGATCTTTGCTGAAGTTCTTGGGAAAGAATTGTTTGCCCCTCACTCGCCATTGTTAACAAAGCCAAGAAAATTTGTCTCAGTCGACGATTTTGTCGTGGAAGCCTCCTGAATCTTTCAGCACCAAAAGCCACTCCTGTCCATGGATGTAAGCCGCATTCGATTTACAATCGGTTGATGTAATTTGCTTTCTCGCTGAGATCTGTGGGTGTATAGCCAATTATTTAAACGATGCGTTATCTGCCCTTGTTAGGAAATAAAAAAAAGGCTCATTTAAAACCCAGGTAACGTAATATTGTCTTTATCATACTGGGTACAATTTTGCATGATTTTGCATGAATTTTTTTGGTGTGAGCAGGTGCACATTTATCGGAAAAAGAAACGTAATTCAGTTGTTGATTAACAAAAAGGTAATCACTTTTAGAACAAGTGGTGACACTTTTATGGAAACTGATAACAATTGAGTATATATTGCAGTTAAATTTCAAAGACCGCGCAAGGTTTTTTTTTTTTTTAGGTAAGCAAACGGTTTATCATTGGGGCTTATTTTTCAAATGAACCCGACGAAGTTCGTGTGATTCAAATTAGCATTTTGTTTGCTCAAAAAAATACTCGGTAAGCGTGGAGTGGTTTCATGGAAACAATTCTTGTGTGTATGAAAAGAAATGTCACCATTAATCTGACTCAGGCTTAAGATTAGCAAACAGGAAAGTGATTATACCGGAAGAACGATTTGTATGATTTGTATATACTGAAAACTTAACGCCTGGAGGATACTGTATTAGTATTTTTCAACGAAACCAGTTTGAAATTTAAGAAAAGCAAAAATTTCAGGAATTTTTTTTAAATAAAAAAACAGGGACACTTATTACAATATATTGAAACATAGTACCTCGAATAATTAAACACCAATTTAGTGCATGTAAATCAATTCTGATAACTTTGACGTAAGGGAGAAAAATTTCGTTGTATGAGTCAAATTTTAGTAAAACGAGTTTGGGTCTTTTTTTCGTTTTGTTTTCTCTTTTTTTTCGTGATATTTTTCAATTTTCAAGTCTTTTGCCTTTTTGAAATTCATTAGACAGAGCTGCAAATTGTTATTGGTGTCATTCCGGGACAAAAATTTTCAAACGAATCTTATATAATGCAATGACAATTTGAATTTGTTTTCAAACTCTTTCGGTACACGAGGCGGTTTCGAAATTGCCAGTCCAAGCAACTTATAGGATATAGGATGAGTGGTCGACAGTACTTACCATTCTTTGCAGAGAATTGATCTATCTCAATGGTTTTATTTCTCTCAGGCGGGACGAAGGTTATCTTGAGCACTTTCTTTAGACATACCCTATCACTTGTGTAAATAATTTTTGTCGAAATCAAAACATAATTACTCTTTCTCTTTACAGTAAATGCACGGCCCAGGTATCAAAAAACTCGTCTAGTATCCGATCATGTTTGTGTGTACTTTCGACGTATTTCACTACAGAGATAACGCTGTTGAAGACTCCGGTCAGTGGCAGTTCGGCTCCTGTGCACGTTTTTCACCTACAAGGCGTAATAGATTTGATCTGACGTTAAAGAAAGTAATCTGCAGCCTAATTAATTTCATGTAACATCGACAGCTGTCTCAAAGCCAAAATTAAAATTTGGACAATTTGTCAGTATCCATTATATATTTTCAACACAGCCTGAGAGATACTTTTTTTTTCCAAGATGAGACTCCCATAGTATTTGAGTTGAGTTCAAGAAAGAGAGGAAAACCGACACAATTTCTTAATTAATTTTATTCGGTCGGTTTGACGGGTTTCTTCAATATGTATCCTCATTTCCTTACACATTTCGAAATTTGGATTTGGATTTTTTTTTTACCTCAAAAGCAAAAATAAACTTCACACATCATTTCGTGATACACGTAATTGTAATTAACGCAGAAAAGCTCATTACAGCTTAGATATACTGCTAACAATGAACAATGACGGTCGTTAGAGAGAATTTCAAACTGCCTGCACAATAATTTGCCTCCATTTTGCAATTAATCGCGTAAAACGTATGTAATCAGTGATCAGATGAAGGTGAGAACAGCTCAGGCTTTGTGTTAAATTTTTAGTTAGCTCCTAGTAATGTTCAATTGTGATTTACATTTATTTTTGTTTTGCTTGTTTGTTTGCTTTTTCGGTTTCGATTGACAAATGTTACGCGTGGTTTAAGTTGTAAAAGCGTTTAGCCCAAAAATGAGGGTGTTTATCGCTGATCTCTTTGACACTAATGAGCTATTTATGTTTCAACACTCCTCCATTCCATTAGCCGGCAGAGCAGGCGTGATTTTGGTGAGCGAGTGCGTAGATTTTTCTCGGTGAAAATTTTCAGCGGCCACATCTGATATTTACAGTAGCGGAGGGCTGGGGAGAGAAAGAAATTTGTACCAAGGGAGTGAGCGACAGTCAAAAGTATGAAGAGAGGAGAGGGACGGGGCATCAGAACCATTGTTGTTTGGGCTTAATTTGTTTGCAATTGAATAAGAATTTCATGTTGAACGTATTTTACTTATGGTTACTCCTTCACTCCGCAGAGGAATTCCAGAGAGCTGTCCGTATCTCAACAGGGCAGACATTGGACCCGTATGTAGTTCACACGGTATTTCAACTATTCGATAAAGACGGTGAGATTTTCATTTTTGTACTTCGTGCAGGGGAGACTCGCTTTACGACCTTCCACCCGCCTCGTATTATGAACACTTCGTGTATTACGACCTTTTTGTGCTCTCCGTGGGAATTAAAAATCAAACCCTTTCTTGACTGAGGTGCCTCATTACCACGACCAGTGCTTTTGATATATACGATCAACTCTCCACTCTTTCATGCTCAGCACACTTACCGCTTGCATTCATAACCCGTTCTTTACACACCTTTTTAGTTTGAACCAAGTGTCAGATGGCCAAGGGTCATGTTAATACTTAAGCTCCTAAGATCTAATTCGTAATTTTCCTTACACACATTTCCCTATTTGCCTGTCGCAGTTTCCGTCGTTGTCATCTTTTGCTGTATAGTGAATTAATAGTGTAAATGAAAGTTATTTGTAAATCACATCAGCAAATTAAAGAAATAACTTAATATTTCCAGCCCAGTGTATTTCCTTGCCGAAGAACACAACACACGAGGCTTGCAATTCGGATGTTTAGATCCATGATAGTGCGAAGGTGGTAACTCTCAGCCCATGAGTTCCTTTGCGAGGATAACAAGGTGTTTTTGGGAGAAATTCAAGTTTGCCTCCACCTCCAGAACTACTCGTACTGGTACAAGCAGCGGTTCTTTTTGAATTAGCAAGTAATGTAACGTCTCTTCGTTATTCTTCAGGTGATGGTAAACTAAGTTATAGCGAGTTCATAGAGTTGATGAAGGATCGCCTCAAGCGTGGATTCATGGTAAGTGTTTTAGTTTTGGAACACAACTTTAACATCTTAAGGTCCACGTTTACGTGGCTCGTAGCGTTGTATGACGCGCTTTTTCTCTGCGCACTAGATGACATGAGACGATTCTGGGAGAGATTTACCGGGAGTCTGGCACTGATAATCAGTGCTAAACGCCTTGCTGACTTCTCGCGGGCTCGCTTAGCTCGAGGCCTTAAACTTTCCCGCATTTGAAGAAACGCTCGAGCTGAAGCGCTAATGACGAGGTTCTCCTCGCAGAATAACGTTGACTTCGATAGAGAAACGTTAAGAGATATTATTTCTAGATAATAAGATAATCTTAGGGTTATCTTGCCGCTGAAGCTTGAAGCCGCTAAGAAGTGCGCGATCGTTTATACAACCGGCCATGTTTGCAGGATAAACGTGTCTCTCCAACCTTTTTTTCGCTAACGTGCGTTGTCCCTCCAGCTTTAAATTTCGGACGTAATGTGGATACTTTTGTGTGAATGAACTCATCTTGCCTGAATAATCCTAAGACGCTTATTCGTTTAAAAAATTAATTTTCCCTTCACGGTACGTAATACTTCTTTTGCTAACATTGCACCTCATATAAACGTAGCCTCGACACAAAATGAACTAGATCTTACTTTTATGAGGTAAGCCGCCACCAGAGGGCTACCCTTCTTTCAAGTGAATAGGGCTTCATAATTTCATACGGATTTATCTACAACAATTCCAAGAAAAGAAAGTAAATGTACAACTGTCAACTATGATGACCTAGTGTAACAATTTTAATGTTGCATGATGACCGCTTTCGAGGGTCATTCGTATAGGTGACCTGTATCTACGTATTCCATACTGATTATTGTGTTTTATTTTAGTAAGTGTGACCTACATGCACCTTCAGAGAGAACTTGTGAATGATTCATTGACATGTAGCAATATGCGTACTGATTCATGCAAACAGATAAAGTTTTACTTTAGGAAAAGATAATCCTCGAATTCGGGAGATAGTGGACGCCTCCCCTTCCACCCCAAAAAAAACCTTTAAGAAGCATTGGCGGGGTACTAGTGCAAATAGTGCACTGTTTAGTAGTGAAGGAGTCTGTTCATCTGATCCGGACGTTGCATGTAACTTCAAATCCCAAACAGGTCAAGCTTCTCTTAATTCTGTGAGTTAATTCCAGAAAGAATGGTCAATTCATAGGGCGTTTTGGTCCATTGCATAGCTTAAAACTTGTTGGGACTGGTCTGTAGAGTTGATAAAGGCTTCAAATCAACCGAACATTGATTTCTTTCAAATCAATAATTAATTCGTTTATTTGTACATGTGACGTAGGTAAGACATAACATACAAAGTAAGGTTTAAGAATGAAACTAGAAAAGAAATTGTATATATCATGTATGTACCGCTATTATTCAAGGCTAACAAATATGAATATTCACTAAATACTTAAAAAAGCTGCTCTTCCAATCGTCTTTCTGATCTTAATCAAAATCTTTCTCCTAACTTCCGGTTTTAAAGAATTCCATTCTTTAGCAGTTTATTCGTGTAAAAAAATTCCTTTTGAGATAAAGAAGACCCCTAGGCATATCAAGAATGAGTCCATTCTATTCGAAAAAATAAAGTTACCTGTACTATTAGCCAATGCATTTTGATGTCTTGCAAGGCAGATTCTCCCGAAAAATGCCTTCGCCAGGTTTTTCAGGTTTATCCGAACGCAATCTTTTTTAATTCACCTCTGATTAAGTCCCTCTTTGCCCCAGCTTTACCTCTCTGTCTCTGTGATCTGTTTGAGTTTTCGCTTCAGGCGTTAAGGCGTGGATACTATACTTTGGTGATCCCAATTAACTCCTAAGATTTGATGTATTTGACAGTTCTCCCTTTCGGCTGCTCTACTTAACAATTGGTTCATACGTTAGCGTGCGTTCATCGAGATATGAAGCACGCGGGAAGTTTGGAGAGCACGAAAGATGCGTAAGAGTTGCTCTCGGCGTAGCCGAGAGCAACTCTAGCTTCTTGTTGTCTCATTCTTGAAGAGAATTGGGAGTTGCATCAAGATAACACCGCCTGTCAGATGAGTTTATCTATTCCTATCATCTTCTTGTTGTAGAATGTACTGAAGTCGTTAGATGAAGTTACATTTTGGTCATATATGGGCGTTAAAGGGTTAATCACGTGCCAATAGTAGCGGCCTTGTAATTGTTTTCAAATGAAAGCTCATTTGTACAGCTTCTATTTTTTTCTTTTCGTTATTTCTTTCTTCCTCTCCCTTTCTCTTTACTTTTTGCTTGACCCGTTCCTTTTCTTATCAGTTTTTATCAAGCACGGGCAGGTATTCTGGCAGATATATTTTCTGTAATAACAAAGCTTAGTGTTGTTGTTTTTGGCCGTTGAAAGTGATGCTAATCCCTCTGTAACCTACAAAGTAGCGAAAAATCAGCTCATGGTTGCCTCTTCATAAGAGCATGGGAAGACCTGTAAGACGAAATGACCAGCGCCGGGCGAATATTTCCCCAGATGATCGAGAGGATCCAGGGTTGAATTTGAAGCATTTATGCGGGTCCTCAACTGATGAATGTGATGAACCTTTTTTGTCAATAGGCACGGTGACGAGGAACTGGCCATAACATGTTGATACTTGTCTGTTTGGTGCCTCCGTGGCTCTTTAAGTAATTCCAGTTGTGGAAACAAAGCTTACCCAGGGAAAAGGAGGCTTTGTCTAATCTGATTCTTCCGTTATCAAAGCGATGCAATGACCTTTTTCTAGAGATTTTAAAGAAAGTCTAGCTTTAGTCCAAATACCAGCACGTTCGTGATTCAAACTTTCCTATCGAAAATACAGAGTTGGCTGAAGCTTAATCATTGAGTAAAGAGATGTCGGTGTTTTCAAAGCCAATTTTGGACTCTGCCGTAACTTAGTGTCTCTGCATCGTAAAATTAAGCCTGAGTATTGTTCTTCATTTGTTTGAAAATTTTCCTCATTCCCAACCATTCTGGTTCCTTCTTCCCTTTTTGAGTTATTTTTCCTCTTTACGGTTTTTCACTGCACTAGCAGATGATTTCATGTATTTTGAGCCGTCCTTTTGGGGTTTTCTCCTTGACTCTGTTCAATGTGTCGTGATATTGTGGTTTGAGTGAGACTTGAAACTCAGGAGGGTGTCTTAAAATTATAATATTTCCCTCTTATTGTCGACAGAAGGGAATCCTTCCGCGAACGTGGTTCTCAACAACAAGGGACTTTGCCCAGAGTGTTTTGATTGTCATGTTTATCCGGAAGTGTCAAAAAAAAAACACTCGGAAAACTTGAGTCGATTTATTTTTTCTGTTCACAGGAAGCACAATGTGTCAGCACAGCAGTTTTTAAGCGTTTTACAAATGTTCACACGTAGATACAACTTCCGTGGTGCTGTTCAAATAACAACACTTATGTTCCTTGTTTGTGAAAATGTCAACGGGTAGCGAACACACGGGTCTAATTATAAGCGTGACGGGAAGTCATCAACTTGCGTGACAAGTTTAGTTTCAGTACCAAATGCGTTTAGTCACACTTGAGCTATAACGCCGGTTGATAGTATTGGTGTGAGTTATTCATCGTATTTGACAGGTCTCTTCAGGCTCAGTGGTTTAAGTGTGAGCTCTTGTCGTGTTAGTAAATCTCTTCAGTACTGTATCTTTTTCGTAGCCCTCTTGGCATTTTGTCGGAAGTTTTTCAAGTGTCTTTATTGCCATTCTTCGGACCGTTCTCGGTCCTTGATTGTAGAGTGAATTGTGCAGTGGTAACTACTCAACTTTTAAATCACATTTTTCTCAGTAAAATCTCTGTTGCCGTCGGAATTGGGACCTACTTCGAAGTTTCTGTACCTTTTTAAACTCGTTTAGGTCAAGTGTAATCTCTGTGAAGTGTTAATCTATGTTGAAACTATTTAATACCTTTTTTTTTTCTTCCTATTGTCTTTTTTTTCCAATTTCGCTCCGAAATGATAAGTACTTATTTTTAATTTTATTGACACTCGAGTATGTGGTATGTGAGGTGTTTATTTTCTGATGTGTTCCTTCGTCGGAATGCTTTGTGTCGCCACTGATGTCGTGGAGTTTTGTATATAAACACAATTGTATCCTTGCAGTGAATTTATGCAGCGTAATGTAATAAAAACTTATGTATCCATCAGGTACCAAATCGTCTTCGTTTAGGTCAAATGTCGAAACTAAATACATTAATCTTGTAATGTATCTATTTCAATGACTGATGGCGACGCCTTATTAGCAGTGAGATGAACATAAAGTGTCACAGTCATTTCCTGTCTACAGATCGCCTTGTGTGGCATGGGATTGATTGAAGTATGGTACTAATTTGTGACTTATGACTTAAAGAAGAGGTGCGACCGGTTATTCAAAGTGGCATCTTATTGAAATCTCTTATATAAACAGGTCCCGGCGTCAGAGAAGACAGGCTGGCAGGGATTCAAGCAGTGTATCAAGAGAGAGATGTCCTTGTAGCAAGGTCGGGGACTAGCTGTTATTTATTAAAATTTTCCTGGTTTGGCGTGAACTGTCAAACAAACATAGTGTTTGCAACGCTCTAGATAATGAAAACTAAATTTCCTGCATACGAATGGAGGAAATCAAACTAACGTGCATGTAAAATGAATTTCAAGTGAAGTAAAAGATTTCAAAGATTTCCTTTTGTTTCAGTTATATTTGACCAGTGTTGGTTATTCTATCGCGAAGAAAATACTTTATAATCAACGAAAACCGAGTGTACACCCCAAATATTTGCATGGCAGTTTCACGAGTTTCAAGGCTTTTAATGTTTATTTAACTGTAACAAAATCCAAACATTAGTTTTGTGTTCCCAATTTAAGACTGCTGAATTGTTTCGTGTTTGGTTCCTATGGTTCCACAGAAATTGGATGAAAATGGATACCCCTGATAGTAATTGCCTTCTTTCGGCTTAAATCCCCGAAAAGATGCGAGTCCTGCTCTTAAGTCCAGTGATACAATGTTTGTTACAACAAACTTCAATTATACTTGTTCATGTAATTAACTATGTTCGATGGAGATGATAGACCTCGATCACCACTCACCAAGAAGTGTTGACAAGACCATCAAGATGTACACCACTAACAGGTACATCTGATGACATCTGCTCCCAGAGAAACGTTATCATTCCTCTCCGGAAACGACTATTAATTAATGATTAGCGGCCATTAGTGTCGAGTGTGGCATGATAATGAACACGCTATGATTATTAATGCATTATGCACTGGAACCACAAGATGTCTTGCTCTCGTGGACGAGGGCAGCAATTAAAGGGACAATGATTTATTGTCCTCGCCAAGCGGAGTCCAGATTGCGTGTAGTCGTGGTCTCATTTGCGGTTTACCCAAGGAAAGCAGTGTTTTTACGAGGTGATCGGTAAAACAGGATAATGCAAGGGGCGGCAGTAGACAAACATTCTTACTGACAAGTCTCAAGTTCTTATCTCAATTAACTATACCTTTTGGATTGTTCTAGATGACGTCATGAGGTTAAGTGGCGGGCTAACGACATTCAGCGTTTGGCAAAAAACAGGTCTGCTCCGAGCGAATTGTGATCGCTCACTCAGAGAATTTAGTTGTTTGCATCGAGTTGCCTAAAGCCGCCTTAAGAAGGAAACGATCACTCGAGAGTTCACTAAAGATTGCGTGTATATTGAGATTATTCGCCTACTCGCCCCCCTTAAATCGTCGACTCGTCTAAGCTCGAATGGTAAAGCCGCCTAAAGCCTTTAATCATTCGATCAATTTGTCTCGAGAATAGCTTTGAAATTCTTGCGTATATGCCACATAAGATGGATATATCGCTATTTATTTTCAGAGGAGACCGCGAGCGGTTTGTGTAGGATGCGAAAACTGTTCCCTCTTGTCTTTATCGCACGAATCCCATCAGTGCATCACGCAACGGTAGCAAGAGCTGTCTGGGGTTGAATCAGATTTCTTGAAGTCACATTCCATCGCTCTCCTCAAGTGCGCGCGTTCTGTTGATTATCAAGACACATATCAACCTTGACTCGTGGTGATCTTACGTAGGGTATTCAGTGACCACTGTGGCGCCCGTATGGCCATGTCAGTCTCAGTAGCACTTCCTTTCTATACGGCATCTTTGGCCCTTCTTATTGCGTTCGGTATCCTACGGTTTCTATTCTGTACCTTGGTGTTCCGAAAGCTGGTCGTTAAACTGTTCATCAAGTTTGCAGGATGTGAAATCAGCCAAGAAGTGTACGGTAACAGTTTGTTTGGATGGGAGATGTATAAAGCGGTGACGGCCGCTTTGATGACAGATCTGCAGAAAAAAGCGAAGCTCGGTGCAGAAGCACCAAATCCTTGCGTTGTGTCGGCCGACGGCCAGTTGCGTTCAAATTTATTGGACTTCGCCAAGAAGAGCAGGCCGTTGGTGGTGAATTTCGGCAGCTGCACTTGCCCTTTCTTCATGGACAGGCTGAGAGACTTCAACGAGATCACGGCGGATTTTAGAGATATAGCTGATTTCGTCGTCATTTATATCTCCGAAGCGCATCCCTCAGACGGTTGGGCTTTCAAGGTAATAATAAAAGCCAAAATTTATTTCTGAGATACCCAATTTGTTGTATAATCCTAGCAAAAATGTTACTTTAAAATCGGGGCATAGGTTACCGACTAGTGGTGGCTTCAAACTTTATCTCATTCTACCACGCGCTTAGATCCGTAGTATTGTAGTGTATACGTTCGTATATACGTATTTGAATTCGAAGAACCGTGAAATTAGACTATACAGTTTGCTGTCTGTAGAGGAAGCCCTGTTTGAATAGTTAATTAGTGAAGGAATGAGCTCGGACTTTGCTCTGACTCGTATATTCTTTTTACATCACGATCTAGACTGACTTCCACGTGAAACAGCATCGCACTCTAGAGGAAAGAGTCCAAGCAGCTCAGCTGTTTCAGGACGCGTCTAAGCTAGAAACTCCAGTGTTGGTGGATTGTGTAGATAACGAAGCGAACCAAGCGTATGGCGCACTGCCAATCCGACTGTGTATTATCTTAAATGGAAGAGTTGAATTTGTTGGCGGGATGGGTCCGACATTTTACAGAACACAGGAGGTCAGACGATGGTTAACGAAATGGAGGGAAAGTGAATTGAACGTGTAACCGTAGTCCTATATACCTTCACAATTATTCGAAGTAGCACAGTGAGATACAAGGACGAACACTGAAAACGAAAGTTCAAGCCCGTGTATCGCCTTCTTTCACCGTCGCTGTATCACTTACAGACAAGAATATCATGAACAACTTTATAAGGATTGTAATCAAGGGGCTAGTGACGACCGCACGACAAACACTAGCCGAAAAGCCTAGAGCTACATACCCTGTACGCTCGTAGGTTATCATATTCAGTAGACCTGAAAATCTGAATGCTGCCGTAAAGGCGGGTATGGAAGATAAATTTGACACGAACGTTCTCACATGCTTCACTCGAGAAGACAATATTTAATAACCATACATAATTATATTACTCTCGTTTCGTCGTCATCAGAGTTATCATAAGTTTTTATTCAATACAGAATTTCTATTGGGTAAAAGGTAAACAGTTTCTTTTAGTTTCAGTTGTCCTTTGCGAGGTTTATATTACCTATGTTGTTCCCTACAAAGGCAATGTCACCAGTTTCGTGGTATTTGCCTGAAGGTTAAAGGAACGAAAATACGATACAACTATTTTAATCTTGCCCTGTGCGGTCATTGCATTTGTGTTGTATAACAAAACAAAAGAACAAGGTGCGAAATATAAATAACAGCTAAAAATTGAATCTTGCTGCGAGTCTTAATCCCCTAACCTCGTTCGGCGATCATTTTTTACTTCACCTTAGAATATACAAACATGAAATCTAATTACGCGATTTTCAAGCCATCATAAACCGCGGAAAGTTGGTAAATGTCAGGAGACGTCAAGTTGCATTTTTTTTGTGAAGGTTGTTTATCGCAAATCCGGAAAAAGGTACACGTTTGGTTGACACTTTCAACTTGACCGGAAGATTAGTGTCCATGAAGTCAATCCTAGATGATGAAATATAACATATTGCCGAGGAAATACCTACAAAACTAATGCTATGAAGTGCTACAAACAAAGCTCTTTGTTTTATTACAAGTTGTTTTCTTGTTGAATGACCCTGGAGGGTTTGCAAGCATTAAAACGTTTGCACCTCTGCAAAGTTGGCATCACGCGATGATTTTCTCATTGAACGCCACCGCCAGAAATCCAAACACGGGTGATTTGAGCTCACCGGGGAGAGCTCTCGTATTACGTGCGATAATCTCTGATTGTCGAGACCCTGTTTAGAGAGAAATGTTTACGAAATTCATCGCGTGACTATCGAGTCTGGTAAACAGCCTTTGTTTTAGCGCGTGTGCGCGAGATCATCTAGGAAGTACCTCCTCATCTCTTGATTTACGATCTAACGATCGATTGGCCGAGTGTTGATGACTGAAAACCCCCACTTGAGAAGAGTCGTTTTTCTCTAAGTGATTTCTCTCGCTTGAATCCATTTGCGGTACAATTCGTTGGCGACGACTGATTGCTTTCGCTAATCTACATTGTCCTTGATCACGTTTCTCAGCTAAAGGGCTTCAAGCATGGCATTGTTTGCTTGAACAGTTTTTAGTGTACTTCCTTTTTGGCTGGGAACCCAGTCGTTTAATAATTACTGTTCAAATTTCGATCAAATGCATCATATTGTGACACATTTCAGCACTCACAGAATAAAATGCCATGCGAAATCTGGTGAAAACACCGACTTCCGGTGTCGAAACGAATAACATCGTGGAATAAACAAATTAAGAAAAATAGTTTGTCACGGATGAGAGAGATCGTACCGAATTGAGAGAAAATTTCCAATTTTTTTTATGAAAGTAAAGAAACCAGTGTGAAGCTGTTGAAGAGACTTTAAAACTTTGGAAAAACCGCCTAAGAATAATTTCAATTCCAGTTCATCCATTATCTGACATTCGAGTTAACCTCGCGTGATAGATACATTACGATCGCGTGAATTTGAACCTTACGTCATAATTTGTCCAATTTTCTCACGAATGTAGCTTTTTACCTTCTTATCTGGTTGCTTGTATCACGTCTGAAACGCAAAATGTTTTCCTTGAACTGGTGTCCATAAGGAATTACCTTTTAAACCTTCCGGTATTTTTTCAGAGTATATGATTAATATTTTCTTTTTGTCTAGAAGATGCAAGACGGATAGGTAAAAAACGCCGAATTAGAATTCTTGTAGATGGATTTTAAAAGAATACTTGAAACTATAAGCCTTAGCTATGCAACTGGTACTTCTGTTGTCATAAATCTCCTCTATGCGAAAAGATTGATACGAAATAAGAAAAAAAATGAATATTTTTAGATTGGCAAGTCGCTTCTGAGAACTTTCACTGTTTTAAAAGATGGCCTCTACTTTGAGTCAGGTTCATCGTTTCGTCTATTATCTCAGACGATTTAAAGGGATGATATATTTTTTTTTTGCACAGAAGATTCCTTGCAAGTTTGTATCAGCTTTCGTAGGAAACGGCTTTAGAGGAAGTTGTAAACATCTTTGGATTTCAAAGGGTAACTAGATATTTCTAAACATACATCTCTGGAATAGAACCAAACTTTGTTTCATGCAAGGACCCTCCTTGTGAACGAAACTAAAAAAGCGCTAGCAAGACGCACGCAAGAAGTATAGAAGTATCCGGTTTTAAGTTCAAGTCATTTCTTGACCGTTGAAGGATTGCTTCATTAAGAAATCAAAGAAGCGGTAAATCACAGACTGGTTTTGGAGATGAGGGCAAAAAGGGGGCAAAATTAGTGATTATCTCTCTTCTCCAGCTCTCGTGGTTTTCCCAAATTACGTGCTTCCAAAACAGAAAACACGACCGAACTATTTATAGAAGTTATCTTTTATTGATTTATAAACAGTAGAAGCTAAAAAAAAGAGGGAGCATTTATTTATTCCTCCGTAAAGACTTCCAGATGTGAATTTCTCAGTTCGATGGTTTTAATTTTGAAAGACTTAATTTGGTGATGATTACTACAAACACTGACTGTTTCAATAGATATGATAAAAATAGACCGTTAACTCAAAAAAGGGCGATAATTTGACTAAAAGAGAGGAATATAAAAAGCATCTGCTCTGATGTCGAATATGGAAGAAAAATGCTTTCAGCACTTTACATTTAAACAGCAGGAGGCACACTTATGGTTACTGCTTTGTTGCGCCGCATAGAGCACGACACATATGTGTATAGCCAATGCAAATGTTGTTACGTTCAAAGGTGTTGGTTATCGAGGAGTTGAAGCACTTGAATCAAGCTATCCACGTATTCTTGGACTCGGCAAAAAAGCCTCTCTCGCACCTGTGCCTTTCACTTTACCACACAAACTAAGTTGCAGAGAAAAAAAATCTAAAAAATTTGAGCCACTGAAAAAGCGCAATTTTTAATTTAAAATATGTCGAAAATTTAATTTAGGTAGTCAGAAACTGAAACAGGAGTTATTTTGTTATGTACACAACTCCCGTCTCATGGAAATGTGCGATAAACATTTCACGGCAAGAAAAGTAAACACAGTTTTTCATTATAAAGGGAAAATTATTTTATAACTATTTTTCAACCCCTTCAAGATAAGATGCACTGCTATAAATTTTGGCTAAGGCCCGAAAATGTTGCAATCAACAGCAGTTGATGATTTTTTTCAGCTTCTAATAACTATAAACAAATTAATTTCAACTCTTTGCGATGCCTGTATGAGTTGTTCAAACATCGCGTGATTTCATTGTATCTTTCATCAATTCGAGAAAGTTCAAAACAAAAATATTTCACCCATAAGCTTTCATACCGGGAAAACAATACAGAAGTAACTGGAGAACTTGCTCCTTCTTTGCAGAGTTTGATTAAAAAAAAGTTGAACATATCGTGCAACTGAACAAATGATTTCAGGGAGAATACTTAGATCGCGTGACCTCAATCTTCGACAATTTCGCTTGTTCGCTGAATGACGTAATCAGAACACGACTGATCACAGCACACTGCGTGTAAGCTGGACACAAGGGGTCCGTCAAAACAAACTTCCCACAGAGCTTAAGCGACAAAGGAAATGAACTTAACTGCGATCTTCCTTCAGCAGATTGTAATCTCGCACGCATAGCGACCTACAGTCAGATAAACAAGGAAAATTAAAAGGGAACATTTCTCGATTGCGGTAAATATTGATCTACGCTTGTTTGCATTTGAGTGGGAAGCGTCCGACTTTCAGGCACCGAACTGCTAACACATAGTTTGCAGTGACATCAACTCGAAGATTCAAACTGCGACGCTGGCCATCAAGTGTATTTGTATTTGAAATAGGTTTAGAGACGCAAAAATGTTCTCTTTTACTGATTAAGTAATTTTGTAGGAGGGAAAATCACTCCAAATCGATTTCCCCTTGTGCCACTTCAAATTGTTTTGTTTTAGGCCCATCGCCGTCATCGTTTCATTGTTTATCACTCAGTTTCAACGATTATTAACACGTAATTTGTGTCAAAAGGAACATAAACCTCACTCACCGCAAGTCACGATACCGATTAGATTAAGTCTTCTTGCAAATTAGTAATCATGAAACGCGCGCAAATTCTAACATGTCTTTTCTTGCTACGATACAAAAGCAAAATTTAAACTAGGAGCGAAATTTTGCCACAGGTTCGTTTGCGGACAGCGCGCATGATTGACAGCCCGTACACAAACAAAAAATCTGTAAGGTCTTGCAAGAGTGCTGGCTAGAATTAAGTAATTAAAAAATACTCTAGCAGCGATTCTGGAAGGTTTGCAAACCGTTCTGGAGTGATGGAGACCCCTTAATCCACACTTCTCGTCCACTCGTAAAAGTGTTCATCGAACCCGACTGAGTCGAGCTGCTGCTAAAAGTGCTAATTTGATCGATTGATAGACACTAAGCCCCTACTAAAGAATTGCAAACATTTAAACAGTTGCCATTGCCTTCCGGCTCTCGGTCTCAAATACAATGTTATTAATTAAGTGAATTCTGCGAGTTATTTACCGGAACACTGTAATACGCGTGCCACAAAAGTTGGCAAAAAGGATCCGAAACGTGTCTAGGAACTGGAAAAAATCTGCGGATTGCATGGATTCGTTGGCCAAACCAAAGGATTACAGAGGGAGAAAACAAGCTCAATCAGATTTTAGATATTTGAGGTGGACAACAAGTTGACTTAACCCTGGGCTGCCTTAGAAGGCGGGTAAAATCAACATGGGCTATAGTTGTAAATGCACGCAATCTGTCTTAATCACCTGGAGGTGACAGTCCAATCAGAGTTCACTTCATAGCACGATAAAAATTCCTTTTAGAGAAAAATTTGGGGGAGCGGGTTGGAATGTACCGCTTCGCTGGCTCAAACCGGGCAATCGTGTTGAAATCGAGAGGCGTAAAGTACGTCAAAGGACTCGTACACTTGGAATAGACTAGTTAACACGCGTTTTATTTACATTCGTGTTTTCGCACGATGGATTGACTAGTTGAGCTACAAAGGTTCCCTTTCATCAATTATTATACAGAGCTTAGAATTAAAGTTGTCGCGACCGTCTAAGACGCTGTTTCTACAGATCAGTGACTCAACTGCTTGTAAGTAAGTTAAAAAAAAACATTGCAGTAACGCGGTCTACCACGGCATCAAAACACGTCAACAAAATCTCTTTGTTTGTTGCTACCTCGAATCTACCTTAAATATAAGTGTTTCTTTCGACATCGTTCTTGGTCATTGTTCGAAACGTTTGAAGCGAGGATTCCCAGATCTTTTCGTTGATGCATTGTTATAAACTTCCGGTTTTAGTCATTTATCCTAATTGTATTTCCTTGCGTGGCTTTTTCGATGGAGATGCATTTGTCATTAGAGTCTTGTTTGTTCCTTGACGCAGTTGTTCCCAATACTTTACGCCCGATGACGGCCAGTTTTCATAAACTCAACCTTGTATTCCTTAAGCCACTGTCTCACATTTTGTGGGTCGTAGAATGTCGGTCCAGCTAAACCAGCAAATTTCACTTTCTTGTTCTTTATCACGTAAAGTCTGATAGGTAACCCAGCGTATGCATTATTAGCTTCATTCTCCATTGTATCTATCATTATGGGACAGTTAAACTGCACAGAGTCCTGCATGAGCTTTGCGGCTTGGCATCTATCCTCTAAGGTCTTGTGGGTTGAAATTTCGACGTTGTTCTAAGTATGAGATGGAGAGATTTAGTCAGTTGACGCGGGTATCTATATCATTTGGCAAAGGTTGCACTTTGACAGTCACTCACATAAGGAAACTTCTAAGGGGCGTGCACATATGATTTTAATTTATCTAGGAAACTGAAAGGAAATAGTTTTTAAAAGACTTTGTATCTCACCTCAAAGGCCCAACCGTCCGTTGGATGAGCTTCCTCGACGTAGATAGAAAGGAAATCAGCGACATCACTGAATTCTTGCACTACGTTTAGAAATTCGCCCACCCTTGCTCTGAAAACTGGACAAGTCCAGCTGCAGAAGTTGACAACTAGTGGACGGCTCCCCTTGCAAAAGCTAAGCAGTCGACTTTGCGACTCTCCGTTTAAGGAAATTAGGAGAGGGTCCGGAGCAGTGTGGTCCTTTCTTGCAGTTTTTTGCAGCTCGAGATGGATGGAATTGCGCACAGATTTTAACATCTCCCAATTGAACAGTGAATTCCAGTACATTTCCTTTGGCAGAGGTACTACTGATATCAAGTCCATCATTTTAATAACGATCGATCTCGTTCTGGGCAAAATGCTGAGAACACGTAGGAACGAAAATGCCACTAAAAGAAGCAGTGTTGCCGCGCAATGCACAAACGCGCTACTGCTCATTTTCCGCGACATATTTTTTCCTCGACGAAGCTGCAGAGCTGGCGAGTCAAAGCTCGTGTGTATCTCCTCTCGAACACTTTCCCTGGGTTTGAGGACCGCAATGACAGCGTATTTATACAGCACCGAAGGAATGTCAGTAATTTTGTTTCTCTTAAAAACACTCATTCGACAAATCTGACCTCACTGATGAACTTTCGCGTGACGTTGACGCGGAATTTTTCTGTGCTGGCAGGTGCGGTGTGCAGCTCTGGAACCAACGAAACCCAAACAGACAGACTTGCGCAACTTTGTAGGACAAATTTTGTCTCCTCTTATTCAAATAGCGCATCTGTAGTCACAATAAAAATATGATGTTTAGCTATTTGCGATCAAATTGGCGCCGACAATTTCTCTGCGTGCGTAACGTGGTTTGATTTATCGTGAGTGCTGTGTATGCTGTCCGATGCCTTAGCGAAAATTGACCCCCATTTATTCTGGAAACATTGCGCCTCACGGAATAGTGATTTTTCGTTTAAGCCTCTTTAGTTCAAGCACTACTTTCTTGTTATTTAAAGCTGTGCGTGTGTTTCAATCAAGTTTCAGTTGTCATCGCTGAAGAGTGAAGAGTTCTTGAAAAAGTTGTTAATCTGACGTTCCCTATTTAGTCGTGTTACTGATTTTCGCAAGGCTTGTCACGAAAGCACACGACGCTTTGGTGCGTTAAGACCATGATGTTAATCGTCTAAACAGATTTTAATCGTAAATTTACAAGGACGCCTAAAAATAGAGAAATGTCAGACTTCTCTGCGGTGGTTTCTTTTTCCACATATGTGTTCTGACGTATTTTTTTATCTTTTTCGCATACCACGGTATGTAGTCTGTTAAAAATAGCCATTGGCTTTTGCGAGTTTCTCACTGTGCTCTATATTTGGGCCTTTTGATGGGATACAAGCTTTCTTAAACTGAAGATAAACCCATGTACCGTGGTAAAAGAACACACAAAGGATGGCGAGAATATCTTTGCAAGCGAATGTGGACAACAGTTCATTAACTTGAATCAAAGAAACACTGTTTGGAGGAAGGGAAAATTTAAAAGAAGCATTAGCTCGAGAGGAAACTTCGTGAGTTTAATAACATTATTCAATCATCTTTAAGTAATGCGCCATAAATTTCGTTTAGAAGGGAAATTTATGGCGCATAAAACTATTTTAACAAGCAGTGTTCATATTGAAAACAGCATGTAATACCTATAAACAATTCTGATGTATTGTGAACTGCAACTAACCTTGTCGTTTGGAACCTTTTGTGCAAAATATTCTTACCCTATTTGGAGTTGCTCTCAAATGTTGCAAATTATTTGAGGGTTTTTGTTACGGCCTATCGATTTTAAAGCATGTATTGTTTAAACTAGTATGTGTAAGAGTTGGGAGTATCGGTTTATAATGAAGTAGCTGTAAAAAGGAAAATTAAAGGTTCTGATACCACAGCCTCTTAAACTCTGAACTCTAAGAAACCTTTTCTGTATTTAAGATAATGGGTGGTGAAGAAAAACTTCTTGATTCTTGCTACCTGTGAAACTCCAGAAATTCGGAGAGTGTACGGATTTTACACAAGAGCATATTTTTGAACAATGAGCCTTAGCTCTAGTGATTTCCAAAAATCGAACGTCGCCTGAGGAAGTGTTTTGACGAAGCGTTCGCGTGACATCTGCTGCTTAACCCGGCAGTGTGTTCGTGCTGAAAACACACTTATCTTGCACGCAATGATGACGCTGCAGTCAACAAACCCTTGAATATGTTCACTTCTTTAATATTGATTCACTGCGATCATTTTGAAATAAGGAATATTGGATTAAAATGCGACAAGATGAGACGCAAGTTTGAAAAAAAATCGTGATAATAACGCGCTAGACATTGATATGGGGCTAATACCTCTCCACAGCTAATAGACATAACAATGCTGTTTCGTTATCATCTCTCAGTAACGGTCACCGCGTTGGTTCAAGAGCAGAGTCAAAGTTCCTGCATTCCACATAAACTATACTTCATCGCTATCGTGGAAAATGCAAGGAATTCGAGAGGGTGCTTTTAATTCGCAAATGTTTTTTATTTTTCAGTAATTTGCTTCAAATTAAAATGATTCACTCCGGAATTCGGGCGGAATTGTCGAAGAATTTCAAAAAGGAAGGTTTTAATAGCCTTAGCAGAGAGACAGATTCTTCATATTACAATAAAGAGTTCTCTTTTTCAGTTGGGAAAACATGTTTCTGTCGGACAATCTCATTTACGCTTTAACTTGTTTGTCGAAGCAAACTCGCCATGCAACCGGGAGCACAAAACGAAGACCCTGTTTCTTAGCTGGACGTGACCTTCCTTTCAAATTAGACGCCACTCAAAACACGTTTCTCCATTTTATAACTGCCACAAGACTACTGATCTTGACTTTTTCCGCCATTTTGCTTACAAAGTATACAATGATACATCGGATAGGAATTTATTAATTAAAATATGTCACGTCATTTAATTACTTCTTACGTACAAAGTGATGGGGGTGATTCAAACAGTGCACTTACACCTGGTGCCTCTTGACTTTTGATTACCCTCAAACACTACAGAACTTACGCGATTTTGATAGCGCGCGCGTTCTTTCTGCAAAAACGTTTGTAAAAGGATACAGGGCGGCTTTCACAGTTACGCACAAATGTATGTACCACATGCGCCTCGAGGCCAAATTATGTAGAGTAATTTGTGCTTGTGTAGTAATTTATTCACAGCTTCCCTTTGAATAGTACAATGTTCCGACTTAGAACGTGACATTGAAACAGAACATTACCCACTATGCGTGGTCGTCACTTAGTAATATCTATGGACCTGACAACTGCAGTATCAAAATAATAGTTAAAATATGTATGTATAATGTACAAAATTCTTCTTGTTTTACAATAAATTTATACCAGACTTGAAGATGCGTATGTACACCATGTCTTCCTTCAATTTTTTTTTTTTTTAAATTCCCTCAGTAAATTGTCTTGGCGGCTTGTTTCCTCCAGACAATAATCCTTCAAAATACTACTTAATTATCAGACTGAAGTGGTCTGCGGTCAAAGCGTGCATACAGATTCAAATATTCCACGTGCGTCTAGCGTGCTAGAGCAAGAAGTTGTCTAAAGTGATACTAAAGTCCATTTATTTTTCCCGCGCATTTATCTACGCTCTGTGCCTGGCAGTTTTCGGATGAATTCTGATGTTCTGAAGCCATTGTCTTACTTCCTTAAGATTGTAAAATGTGGGTCCCATCCCCCCTGCGTATTGTATTTGGTTCCTTCTGATGATGTAGAGTCTGATAGGCATGCCAGCGTAAGCCTTGTTCGCTTCATTCGTCATGGTGTCTGCCAAAACTGGACAGATGAATTCAACTGAATCTAACATCATCTTTGCAGCGCTACATCTCTCTTCCTGAGTTTGGTGTTGTGGTATTGTGATGTTATTCTGCAAGACAAATCACGTCATTGTAAAAACGTTAGCCTCTAAAATATCTTATATGGACAATGATGTTTGCCCCGGAGGTTTTATTTCATTTTAGAGTTAAGTCGCTGTCTTAAATTCTTGGGAAAAATTTGCATTTAAGTGACGACTTAAAACGTGATGAAAATTTTGCCCCAAAGGTAATCAATCGAATGGTTGTCTAAACTGCGTTCACTTTTTTTATTCCCGAACATTCTACAACTGAATGGCAATTGTGTGATTCTTGCATTAAAGGTGTCTGTCTGGGTGATCATTACGAATAGTCTTGATTTATATTACTAGTCTTTGATTTATATTACTATCTTTATCTAGGTCTGTCGTAATAGAAAATTGGTGGAACAATGGATCATCGACTCCTTAAAACTGACTAAATCACTCAGTCAATAGAACGTGACTGGAATCAGCAAATCTTTTTTATGAAATACAGATGTGGCTTCTCGTTAAATTCATGTACTTGATGGCTTGACCTTGAAACTGATCATTTGAACTTGGTAGTTACGCTAAGTTACATCAGAATCGTCTAATCTTTGCTATCTGACAACTCTTTCTGGCACGCGCTCACCTCCAATTTCCAACCATTGGTTGGATGGGCTTCCTCTACATATATCGTCAAGAAATCGGCCACGTCCCTGAATTCTCGCACGATGGAGAGGAACTCGTTCACCCTTGTTCTGAAAACAGGGCAGGTCCAACTGCCGAAGTTGACGACGAGAGGACGGTTGCCTCTGCAAAATTCTAAGAGACGATAACTTGATTTTCCGTCTACCGAAATGAGCTGGGAGTCTGGGGCGATTTTTCCCCAAGAAGCTGTCTTTTGCAGTTCGAGTAGCATTGACGAGCGTTTGGAGCTTAACATAGGCCATGTGAATAGTGAATCCCAATAGTCCTCCCTGGGCATTTGGATTGTCGAAATCTTGTTTACAAACTCTGAAATGATCCACTGTGTACAAGGAATGAGTTTCAAAAGCCGCAATACTGTAAACGCAAGCAACAGCACTGAAGTGCCGAGATAGTAGCACAAAAACATACACGTGCTGTAGATCATCTTCACGCGTGAGAACTGGACTGTCAACTGCACCGTGTCTGAGGTTCAACTGGAACGAGAGCTAGACGAGTTGCACTTCACAGCGGGAGAATTTAAAGAATGTCTTTTATACCGACCTCTTACGTGATTTTTCAAATTTTTTTTTAGTCACAGCTCGAGCGTGCAATGCGGAAAATAGACATCAGGAGCTGAACGGATGTATCTTTAGCAAAGTCTTTGCTTCTTTTGCTATATTTGGCTCGGCTTACCTCTGGTATTTAGCGGTAACGCTTTTACAAACAAACTAAACACAACTGTTCGCAGCAGTACCACTCGGCATGCGCTAGACGCAGTGATGAATTGCAGGCCTGCGCTTTCTTGTTAAGTATATTTCAATGACCCCCATTTGTTCTCGAAGGCATGATGAGCACGCAACAAATTAGAATTTCTTTCCACAATAGCCAAAGATTTCTAATTCCATGAATCACTGTTAGAGGACAAAAATTTGATACGAAGCTGACAGAAAATTTTTCACGCTCATCTGCATTCCTATTCAAGGGCACTTAAGAGCGTGCTTGAAATGGAAAAGTTAGAGGAATCAAAACTGAACTTGCGATATTTCACGCTGAGATTTGGTTTACCAATGGTTCCACAATAGATACTTTGCCGCCAAGTTTTGCGTGATTTCCAATTTGTAAACAAATGTTATTTTCATCACGCGATGAATTCCGCAAGACTCACGCGAATGCACGCAAAATCTTATAGACACTCTGAGATGGTGCTGTTGGCTGTTTACTGTACAGTTGCTCGAGGTTTTTTACAAAAAGCGCAAATATTAAACACTTGCTTAACTCATAATTGAGTATTTGTGTGTCTTTTCCGTTGCAAAATTTCCTCACAGCATGACGCTCTTTTAAAGTAATCAAGAGCTTGCTTCAGTGCGCATGCTGGCTTGTTAGAAGCTTTCGCTACTCTCGGGACAAAACGCTAGCCGCGCGGAATGTTTGACTCATTGTGGCGCGCTTTTAGACGACAAATTGCAAAAACCACGTCAAAGGTTTAATGAGCTTCAAAAATAGACCTTCATCCTGAGACATGCCGCAAGTCATAAGTTAACGGCTTATGGATGCCCAAGTGCAATAATGGCTGAACCGCAAAGTGATCGCCCTGCTCAGTTCTATAGGCAAAACCTTACAACTAGAAACTGAAAAATAACTCTCATACGATAAATGATGACAGAGTCCGTTTGAAATGTTTGTAAACTTGGTTTGATGGTTAGTTTCTGCAAGGCACGTTCGACACAGCGCCAACCTAATTTACTTGGAAGAAAGTAGTGTCTTATTTCCTGCTTTTCTGAAGCAGACCGGCGGAAGGAAGTTGCAACTCGGCCGCGGCGTTGAAGCCAGTCGAAAACGCTCTTCCTGCACGTAAACACGCACTTCTCGTTGAAAAAAATGGCCATGTGAAGCCGGGTAAGACTAACCTTTTATCTTTTCTAAATAATGTTCCAATTTTACGGCTAGCACACAAGAAAAAAAGACACTACATCCGTTTTGATTTCCTCATTCATTCATGCATAATTTGGTGAAAGGAAAACGAAGAACGTGTGCTAACCAAGTCGTCTAGACTTAATCATTGAACCTTAGAAGCCCTTTTATTTGAGTGGCTCAGGTACGATATGTTTGAAATTAAATTGAAGAGCAAAGACTTTCTCGATGAATGAAAGGCAAAGTAGACTATGTCAGTAATCAACTGTACCTTTACGAAATCTAGTTGTTACATCTCGCTTGGTCTCAATAATTTGACTGATATATGCTTTGTGCGTAAAACACGCGAACAGACCCTTTGTTCTCTTATCACAGTGCATAGTTCACCAACTTTGGCACAATAAATTACTCCGAAGATATGACATGTTTCTCTTAAGGAAGTCAAAGACTGCGAGAAACTTCGTCCTACGCGACAGAAGTACATGATTTGGAACATATAACGCTAAATCATGGGCAAGTAGTGAAAGTAAGGTCTCGAAAAAAAAAGTCTCGAGTACGTTTTCTACCAACTTCCACGCGGTTTCTTTATGTCAGTGCTCCCATAGAAATAAGTGATTTATTGCTTTTAAGAAATAAACAGCAATTACTTAAAGGTTTTGAATATGGCGACAATTCAAGAGCCATTAAGCAGAAAGCTAAATAGACCAAAACACCGAATAATTGGATGTGTAATTGCTCGGTGAAGTATTTTGACTGATGCAGACTTTCAACCCTCGCAGAAATTATTTGAAGTGATTTAATACATGGCAATGTTGACACGAGTATCACTTGCTTTTTGGCACGGGCCAAGGCGGCTTTGTATGATAAAACCACTTCATTGCCACAACTCTCATGTGTTTGATATTGAACTGCGACAGCGTGGCGTATTGTCTAAATTATCAAGTTTTCCTTGAAGCTGTTTAGTAGAACTGGGTTCTTATGTGACTGCGTGCCCCGTGCACAAGTTTATGGCAAATTACAAACAACACAACACAGTTTTTCCTTTCCTTTTTTCGCTTTTATGTCATTTTTTTTATTAATTAAAGGTAAAAAAAGACATTTGGTTTCCTCAATTTACGAGTGCTCTTGACAATGACGCCCTTGAATTCTCTTTTGCGGCTTTAGTAATTACAATTATTAAACTATATTGGCTGCACAAATTGTTCCAGTCATTAGCTCTTTGCTAATTTTGCGTCAGTTTTGCACATTCAGCTCAAAAGGTAGTGCAATGACAATTACCTCTTTTCTTTCGGTTTTTGCACAAATTAGAGGGGTTGGGTATGTTATGTCAAACGCGCGAAGAACTCAGTCATGAAGCAAAGAGACTTTCTAGATTTCACTGAATGGGACGGGTGGCGGACAGTAATTCAGACATGCTTGATTGGGATCAGACCTTTCGACATTTGAGGAAGGGAGGTTCAAAGTTGCATTCCTTCCTCCCTCCTCTTGAGAGTCAATTTGTGCAACCCTTCAGCACTGTTGTGTCACGGAGAGCCAAGCCAAGAATATTTTACATCATGAAGTGTATGAATCGAAATGAAAAGTGAGTGATAACTCTCTTTTCCTAGTCAGCTGCAATGCTTACTTCTTTTGAACTGAACACTCCCTAAAGTGCAGACAAAAATGAATGGTCTTAAACTTGGAAAAGCCGTTTTTAATCCGATGCGAACAAAAGGTACATTATGCGTGATTCAAAGAAGATCCAGTGTAATATAATCGAAGCTATATCTTACGAAGATGAAAAATGATTAATTTTTGTGCAACTCTTTTGCGATTTTTTCTTCCTGTCACGACGATAAAAATAAAAGTTCTTCCTCGTGGTACCGTTCGGTAATGAACATTTTTGGATCCTGCAGAGACTGGAAATAATTTCTCTATACAATATCTTTTATCATCTTTAGATATTCTATTTTCGTTTGTGAAAAGAAAAAATGAAAAATTCAGGCACGAGTGGAATTTGAACCCATTTACCGTCGTGTGAAATACCTGGGTAGCTCTCTTACCTATCTACTTAGCTGTCGAGCCAACAGGGAAATACACAATGCTTTAATTTCGCAAACGCACCAAAGGAAACATATGCCGGAAAATCACGATCGTGTTTAAACTGTGGAATACAGATTTTTTTACAAGACAATTTGCAGTTGTAAACTCAATGCAGGAAACGAATTTCATGACCGATTTGTTCAGCGCTCTGATCAAAATGGGCTATCAAACCAACGAGTACTGGTGGGCGTTCATGGGTCGAAGTTTTGGCCACCGAAATATTCGTTATTTTTATTTCAAATCCCAGCAGAGAAACGTTTTCCATCTCTTATTTTTATCTGAGCTGGTTACTGGTACAATTAATTTTTAGAAGGTCATAGAAATTGTAGGGAAAAAAGATAACTGCACCGACATGCGACTACTGGTCAACTGATTGATTATTCGTTCATTTTTACGATTTTTAGCTGAATAAACATTGAATTCCAAGTCATTTTATTGAGCACGCGTATCGTGACAGTTTTTACAACATGTCTTGATAATGAATTATTTTTCCATGGATGCGTTAGCCACCGTTGCCAAATCAATTTGTTTATCCCGTGAAGAAATCACGATTCTTTCTAAACCTATCCTGGCATGAAGCCAGTCCGACAACGAGTTACCGGTGGGGCAATTTTTGAAATTTGGCAACCTTCGAGGTCGCGAAATTTTCTTAACCTCTTTGTAAATTTCATGATGTTTGCGTTATTACTACAATCTCATTCACACATAAATACAACTGTTTTAATAATTCGGAAAATGGGAAATGCTGTAATTCAGGACAAAGGTGAACCCAAGGTGAAGAATTGTATGGCAAAAAATTACTAAAATTTAAATTTTGCGCAGTTTTCGCAATTCTTTTTAATTTTTGTAGTACCTTGTTGACATCTTGTTGGCATATTTTTCAAGTGAACTTTGAGCCTCAAAAGTGTCCTGTAACCTTACGAATTTTTTACCATTGTATCCTGAATATTTGTAGCCGCATTCAATCTGGGATGTAAATTCCATCTTTGCTCCAGTTGATTTTTTCTAAACATGGGCGAGTTCCTTACCCCCTACAAGTAAGTTATTCACAAAGGATTGGCACTTGATTAAAGGCTTAAAGATAATGGAAAAACCGATGCATCTCTCCTTCGTAATACGCTCCTTACATCTTTTTAATAATATCTACCCGCGTGATCAGTAGTCTGCTCTCAATTCGATCAACTTCTCTTCAAAATCTTATCACAGAGATTTATCTCCGCTCAATGATGATCTAAATCGCGTGAAATGAATCGTTTCGTTGACAATTTGAAAGCCACCAAGGGTTTCATATAGTCACGTTCACAAAAGCAGTGATGACATGTAGAATTCAAGGTTATCTCAGTTATGCGTCCTTAATCAGTTCTAGCTAACCTATTTGAGATTGAAGTTTAAGGGGCGGTATGAACAAATGCTTTTTATTTCAGGAATTTTGTGCAGGTTTGCGATTTTATCTCGCTCAAATACCGTTCTCTCCAAAATACAACCATTGGTTTTGAAGCTCAGCAAAGTATCTGAACGTGATCAGTGTGATTCATGGATCTTCTTGAGGTTTATTATAATTGTTCGGGGTTATGCCTTGAAATGAAGTCAGGAACAAAGATGACCTTAAGGTCTGACCACATAGAATAAAACAAAACGTATCTCGAAAGGATTTCTAGTTTTAAGGCATCATAGATCAAAACAAACTCAAAACACTTTTTATGGCCGACTTTTGATTAAACTTTGCCGTGGAGCGGAAAAGAATATGGGTAAGTCTTCTCCCTCCGCTAGGACTATACCATCTCTCTGTTCGGTTTACTTTTGCCCCAAGGGCGCATTCGTCTCAAAATTATTTGGACGCGGTTGAAATTAGATGTATTGGCCAGCGACGATGTAAATGTGCGCTGCAGTAGACATATTGGACAATCTTTAAGGACAACTATGCTTAAGAATGTTTTTATAATAGACTGTGAACAAGATAAGAACAAGATAGAGGAGAAAGTTAACGCGGCGAGGTGAGGAAGATTGTGTAGTTGACCATTCTGTTTCATCAATTCGGAATGGTCGGCCATATACACAAGCGACAAAACCAAAGCGCCCTTGATCCTGTTAGCAAATTAATTTACTTAGGTGTATCGGTGTGACAGTTTTCTCGATCTTCTAGAAACGCCGGGTGTCCTAGCTTTGAGAACTAACCGCAGGATATTATGTTAATAAGTATGATGTTTCGTTGAATTGGTAGGTTTAACTCTCCCTGCGTTTTGGTTTCTTCTTTAATCTCCTATTTCATAGGATTTATTTAATTTTGGAGTGGTCATTGTCTGCTTATTTAATCACCAGCTATAGTTGCTAATTTACCTGTATGTGTTTTGTTACCAAAAAACTAATCGAGTGTGAAATTTATGACTAATTCTTTCATCAATTGAAGGACTTGACATATGCAAGTAGACCAGTAAGATAACGAGACTGAAGTTATGTCTTTAATACCAAGGTTTCTGGGAATCTTTAGACACAACAACATTTAAAATGCTACACCTTTTTTAAAAATCATCAAACAGAAAATTGACGCTGCTTCCAACAACTAATCTCAAATAAACTTTTGTAAACCGGCCAGTTTCCTTGCCGACTTGAGACTGACCTTTCTCCTTTGCAAGGTATATGCACAATACTACAAATGCTTTAGGAAAGTCGCTTTCAGTACAAGTACGCCCCCCCCCCCCGTGACTTCTTTCATTCCAGTTCCCTCAAATGGAGACCTTAACAGAGAAGGGGGGAGGCCCTTGTCGCTAACTTATTGCAATCCAATATGCGAGCCAACAGTTTTCTCCTCATTCGTCGTCCAGAATTAATGAACACTGTAAACAATATACATTTCTCTCGCTAGAACCCTACGATACACAAAACGGACACAAAACGGAAAGTATTTCAGGCTTTAAATTACATTACTGTGACGCTAGCTAACAGAGGGGGCCTATAAAAAAACTTGAAGTTCTAAACGGTGGCTTTAGTATGAGAGGGGTTGAAAAGAGCGTTTGCGGCGTTGAAGCAGCAGAATAGCCAAAAATTAGTTCTGTGCCCCATAAGCAACAGCTATGTCATCAACCCAGAACGTCTTTTAGTGTTAAGAGGCCGTATCTTTGTGGGGCTCTGGTGGAAGTGACATCACTCCCTTTAAGCTGGCCATCTTCAATGTAATTTTTCCCGACCTTTCCCTGAGCCCAGAGAAGCACTTTATCGATGTATGGCGTCTTCACTCCTGCGATATCCGCTATACCCCGTATGACAGAGAGCCCGTATGGGATATCCTCTGTCAGATAGCGGTGATGAAAGTCTGGCACGAATTTTCCGTGTCCAGTCTCTTTCACGGGATGTTTAAGGCCCTGGTAAGCGGCGTTTGTTCGCAGAGCGGTGTACTGGTTTGTTTTATCAGCTATATCTTCAGGATAACAGCGTAAATCCCATTCTAACATGGGAACGACCTGAGAGAAATCAAATACAAATGATATATAAAGGGGGTAAGTTTCTAAAGAAACTGTGGTGCTGCGTCGGTGAGAGAGTATGACAGGGTAATTTAGTATTATCAACTAAGTTGATAACGTAAATTGGCCAACGTAAAGATTTTAAAAGCAGACGTTTCGAGCGTTAGCCCTTCGTCAGATCAAATAATGACGAAGGGCTAACGCTCGAAATGTCAGCTTTTAAACTCTTTACAGTTATCAACTCAGTTGATGATACTGAATTACCCTACAAATAATACAGTCTGGTAAGAAATCATTAATCTTGCATCCAAGATGAGATGAGGATTAGCTCATAGATTCCTCTCTGCTTAATACTGTTAGGATGAATGTACCGTCCAACCATCCTTCACAGACTGTCTCTCTCACACACTCCCCCCCTTCCACCCCTCCCCCACTTCCACTTTCATTCTAGAGTGTAAAGCTGGTTTTTTTTTGTCCTTCAGCAGGGACATTTTCAATGTGAAAGCCAGTGGAGTTACATCAATCATACCTAGGGAAACAAGGTGTGATCCTGACGTTCATATGGTAACTGGGACGCAATAATAAAGCGGACAATACAGAAGGTTTGTGAAAAAGATAGAGTCAAGACCTTACTCAAGCTTCCCTGTTTTTCCGCTCTGCACGACTACTGCGCCCAGTTTACCGACAAAACGCCTTGAACGGGCAAATTGAAACGATGCGTAAGAGGTAATCACACTAAAATGACAGAATTCTAACTAAAAAAATTTTTTCAAACTAGGATCCAGACATATTGTCTGTCTGCGGTAGATTTGGTGAGCGGGTATCGGATATTCAACCCAAATGTCAGACGCTGTCAAATTAAAACTCTAATTAAAGTTATCGCATTAGTAATCAGATTGTTTTTGATAAATGTAACAAGCTTATTTCTAATCCACAGGGAAAGCTTATGAAAATCACACCAAAATTCTGTAACGACTCATGAATCAAATTTCTCTTCCCAGACGTGGTACTCGTCATTCACAAAATTTGCATAATTACTTGTTCTGCAGCTAAGAGACAATCAAACTCAGAGCCCTCCTCCAAATTATTTTTCAATGACCCTCGTGATTGGAACTTGGGGATCTCAGTATATCTGAAATTAGTATGTACCAATACGAAAGGGTGGAAAGCGTCAAAATTCCAACAATCTTCCAGATCTCATTTGCCATTCGTCTCCTAGCAAATCGCGCGAGATCTGCGCTCAAAAATATTGGAATCGTAGCAGAGATATATATCTTTTAGTTAAAATCCTAAAGTTGTGTTATATTATACCACTGTTTAAGTATATACTGAAACAGCTGTTCACCACAGTGTCGGTGGCTATCAGTGGATATCTACCTTGCCACTTCACGGCTTGGTAAATATCAACCAATAGCCACCTCCACTTTGGTGAATAGTTTTGAATAGTTATGCATTCAGCTGTGAATGCGGCAAGGTGTACATCGGAGAGACTGGAAGACCTATGCAAGACAGAATTAAGGAGCACGATCGAGACATTCGACTCGCCCGTACCGAGACCTCCGCCGTTTCAGAGCATGCCCACAACACCGAACACAAGCCACTCTGGAACGAAGGCAAGTTTGTCGATCGTGACCCTCATTACTACACGCGCAGGGTCAAAGAGGTATTTCATATAAGACTTCACCCTAACAACATCAACAGGGATAGTGGAATAGAAATTCCAGAAGCGTGGATGCCCACGATCAAAAAACACAACAACAGGAATGCCATGCGACAGCGGACCGCCGAGGGAGAAAATCACTGAGTGAAACAGCGAGGATCGAAATGCACCAATCAGAGCTGTTGAAAAAACAACTAATTACAGCAGAGCATCAGGCTTTATAAGATCACGCATGACCAGTCGACCTCATCGCCTGAAGAAGACTAGCAGTATGCAGTCGAAACGTCGCGATCTACATCACACGTGACTACATCGCGAGACAAACGAAAAAACTTAGCTTATATAGTTATTAAATAGCCGATCCAGCTGTTAGTTCGACTCTCTGTTACGGTGAAGTGTAAAAAAAATAGAACTTGAAAAGAGTGCTAAAACTAGAATCACATCTACCTGAGACATATCGGCTCCAGACTTTTCCGCGATGACTTTTCCCAAGTGAACTACCTCGTCCGACATTTTGGTAAGAAGCTCGCCTGTCTCTTCAGTGACTCCGGTATAAAACATGGGTGGTTGGTCCAATGGAGTCCCGTCCCACCCCACCCATTGACCATACATGATGGCCGGGTGCGAGCACGCATTAGGGTTCATAAGAGAAACACCGATAAGGTGCCCAGAGACAGTCAAGCGAGGAACCCCACCAAGAAGGTACTGTAAAGACGTAACTGGCTCCTTCTTAGGTGGTGCATCGGATCCGACCTAAATAATAAGAGTAAATACAAAGCCGCGTTAAATTTACGGTAGAGGCGAGCAGCCGAATTCCCTTAAACTGCATTTCACAAGCATTTCATATAATTCTTGTTTTGATCCAGCAGAAAAAATACTCTCCTATTCAACATAACTGCAGAACTCGGCTAAAGTACATGTCACACACAAAATTAGATTGCGCCATGTTCCTACCTGCATTGCGCCAACCAGGGTCTCCTTGGTTCCCAGGACTTCGCATTTCCTGCCGAATTCACTCAGACGACAAGCCCAAGGCAAGGATTCGAAGTTCATCACCGTACAACTGTTTGCTTTATCTCCCAGTATGCCGCGAACTTGGAATTCTAGTCCCGAGGCCCCTGGCAGACCAACAATTATCACACCCGGTTCAATATACGGCTTAAGAGCTTCCAGAAACACTTGATGGGCAAATGCTGGCAGCACGAAGGCTATGATGTCAACACCACGCACGGCTTTCTCTGGGTTTTTAGTTATCAAAGCTGGCTTGGACCTGATGATGCTCGGGTCTTGGTCACGGCGGTTGCATGTGATCTCTAGGTCAGCGGTTTGCATGATTTTGCTCCAACGCTCAGCCTCGTCTTGATACAAACTGAGCACCCTGACTTCAGTTCCCGGATGTGACGAGGCGATGCCAGCGAAGGCATGCGCACCATTACCACTGCCACAGATCAGAAGCTTTATGCCGTCTGTGGTACTCATAACTGGTAGAGCTTTGATAGCTTTTCTGAAAAATTTGTCATAACAAAGGTTTGTATTGTTGTTAGAAGTAAACAAAGCAGCGTTTAAGTTATAAGGTTACATCGGCTGTATAACAACGGTCTTGGTTTAAGCGTAACAGCAAGGCTAAAGAAATAAAAACCGCCAGACTGAACAAAATACGACAAGGAGCTAGTGAGAACCCAGAGTTAACTAATATGCACGACCTGAAGCAAGAGAAAACGGGAATTACCGAGTAATGGCTGGGTTTTATATGTTTTGTATCTGATTTGTCGAAACGGTATTGTGACTTTTCAAGACCAATCACAGGACAAAGTCAAGGAAAATTTTCAAGTCGACTCCGGACTACTAGAAACTCAATTTGCTAAATTTCTCTTCTTTTTATTCGTTCATTTTTTGATATGTCAAAATGGTTTTTACACGCCGCAATTCACTGTAGTTGATATTTTTGTTATCGGTAATTTCCAAATCAAAGCTCCTCAGGTACCAAACCGGAAGATATGTCACGCAGCAAAATTTCGTGAAGTCGTGACCGCAAGAAGTTGTGACCTCAAGAAGTCACGATTTTATCGTAGCGACCTCAAGATGTTTCCTCGCATTAATTAAAATGTTGCTCCAAAATATACCCACGAAGGAGGCTTTTTATTACCAGTAGTTCAGCGGCAAACGTTTTTTAAAAACTCACAAAAAGATTTGACACTTACAACATAACACAAAAAATGATTTTTGAAACCCAAAACAAAGATAAATTTCTTTAAAAAGACGAGTTAAACACGAGTTGGCCGACTTGGTCAACATACCCGAGTGTAAAGATCTGTTTGGTAAAAAAAATCGGTTCTCTAGCTATTTTTCTGACGCTGGAGTTGGAGAAATCACAAAAAGTCCTGTCAATCTAAGCGAAGTTTCGAAATTTAAATCACATGTTCATTTCTCTTCATCTAGCAATCGAAAAAAAAAAGGAAAAAATCTCATAACATAATCAAATCGACGATGAATGTGATTAAACACGTAACATAACAGCCTCCTCTCTCACTGTTCCCTCCATGATTTCAAGTAAAACGCGGAAGAGCTTACCTCTTACTTATATTTAGCCGGGAATCTTTTTTATCAATAACAGCGACAAAATGCTCGTGCAGCCTAAGACGTTGGCGCTGATCGGCACCGCTGAAATATAATTTATGCATGCGTAGCTGTCAGTTGAGCGTGATAAGAGTGACAGGAAAATTGCAAATATGCAAACTCTGACAAACGAGCGTCTGGCAGATGCCTTAGCTCTACATTAGCCTAGGATATGAAGGGTTAGGCTAAGCCGCAGAATACCCTGCCACTCATTTACATGTCATTGAATAAGAAATAGAGAATAATACATGGGCGCGCGTAAATATGCAATTTCTCTTCGAGTGTTTAACTCGATAGCTCACGAGTGGGCGCAGCGAACAAGTGAGATGTCGAGTTGAACACGAGAAGAGAAATTCCATATCTACCAACAACCATGTATTATTTTGTTTATCATATAAACACAATAGCCTTGTACTGAGAAAAAAAGCCGACTTTATTAATGAATGAAAATAATAAATCGTCAATCCCCGAAAAACAATCTCAGAGTGTGTTGGCGCTAACTTTTAAGATGAAAAAGTGCGTTTAATCATGATTAGAAAAATAACAATGGTCGTAATTTTCAGTTTACAAAATTCTCATTTATTGACTTTGTCCTTACCGACAGAAGAAGTCCTTCAGGTAAACGGCCAAAATCGGCCAGTGGCAAATCTTCCTGTTGGCGATTTTCATTCTCAGCCGAGTGAAATGCTAATACCAAAGCAACTGAATATGCAACTTTCGGTTTTTCTTTTAATACATTGGTTTCCTTCCCCTTCTAAGAAAGTTTGAACCTCACAGTTTGTGAGCGATACCGATTTCTTAGTGTTTTAGCCGCCGTAATTTGAGAAAGCTCCAAAAAAAACTTGTATTGAGAATCGTGAAGGCTTTGCCGTTCAACCTGACCGAGTGGCGCCAAAGGCGAATGACGTGTTAGCAGCTGATTGGC